CATACACTGCTGCATGATGAAATGGTTTGAAGCAAGGGATTCTTTTGAGTTCCAATTTGCGGTTCTAATCTGTATAGTTTCGGGTTCTCTGAATTTAGTGGTAAGGAAAACGATAGCTTAGTAATAGATATAAAATCAGTGACCTGCGTCTGTTTTGATGCCTAATATATGACTGCATGTTGATTATTGTGCCCGATTGATGACCTCTGAAACCGGGGTTTGTGTTCTTTGTGGGTGTAGCTTTGTGTTCTAATAGAAAAAGGTGAAAGAAGCAAGATTCATAAATCTGATATATCAATGTGCATATGTTTACCCCTCTCTGTGTAGTTGGATGTTGATTGATGAATTAAAGTTTTAAAGATGGGAAATTATTAAGGACTTGCTGTTTGCTATTCTTCAATGTTTAGCAAGAGTTTTTAGATGGTTAAGTTATGCTTGGAGGCATTAAAATGATAGTTGAAGACTTGAGGTGATATTCATAAAGACGGAAATTCAGATTTATAAGTGATGCTGTCAAAATGACCGAATTAGTTGATGAATTAAAACTAATTATACTTTTCTTCCGCTGTTTTAGTAGCATATACATGAGTGCTACTGTGAAACTTATGAAGAGGAGTATCTTCATAAGTCTTAATGATAGTGTAAGAGAGATAAAATTGCCTAGCGGGAAAAAATAATGGAAGCATTAAGATAATGATTTAAACATTATTTGAATCTGGAAAATAATTTCAAATTGGAAGTAACATTATTTGGAGCATTATTGGGAGTGTCTAAATGATTTAAATTTTGATATATCGGAGTCTTTATGTGTATAATAATGAGCTTAATGAATCGAAATGTTGAAGTGGAGAGATTATGTGATACTTCTTTGACGGTTCTTGTGCCTAGATATGTAAGTTCTGTTTAATGCTCCCTTGTAATGAATAGCTGTCTCAATGTTTTGAAGTTGGTAGTTGTACTGTTTTATGCCTCTAGATGTATAGTAACTGTTCCAAATGGTTTGATGGTGTGTAGACACATTAACATGATGATTTGATCATTAAACGTTGTTCTCGAAACAATTAAATAATGAAAAAGTTTGACAAGGGTCTTGGAAGAAATGCATTAAATATCTCAAGGCTTTAATGGGTTAAATTGATGAAGTAGAATAAAGAAATCATGCCTATTCATTCCCCTTGTTTCGGTCAAATGACTATGAAAGCAATATCTTTGAAATTTAAAAAAAAAAAAAAATTCCAGACTCAGTGGAAAGCAGGCCATGGGAAACATCTGGGAAAGGGAAAAGAAAATATTTTAGTTCATTTTGAATATATATGATAAGATTTAATTTGAAACTTATTCTAGGTTGTATGGCTTCAAGTTCTCTGCTAATAAGGTTATAGAGAACACAATTTCTTAATAATATATGAATTATTCATTTGAGTATTTTTGTAGATGGTTGTGCATGATACATGGTAGATATATCATTATACATCTATTTAAAGAAATAAATCGTAACTGGAAAACTAATGTGAACTTTGCCAGTTAGTTTATGCTTTTGAATATTAAATCATTGGCTCAAGGTATAAAAAGTATGCTTCTAGATGCCTAAATGATGATTAAGTCAATGTTTTTAAAGCTTGAATTTGCGAGTTATTGTTTACATGATATTACTTAAATTTCAACCCTCATTTAAGAGTCTCAAGTTAATAATACTGTTGTAAAAGGTATAACCATAAGATTAAAGGATTTTATAGAGATTATAAATACCCATATGTTAAGTGGATACAGGTATATGCTCATTGTTTAGCCATGAATATGTGAATGTTATTTGAACATATTATTGAAAGTTAAAAAGAAGTGATATTAAAAAAGTTCTTGATGCTCCTTAGAGTTGAATAATCAATTTTGATGGTTCTTGATGTTAAATGAGGTCTTAAATGCTTGACACATATGTATTTGCTGCTGTGATGCTTGGGAAACTGATGCATGATGTGTTTGTTTACAATAATTAAATTTATGATTTTTGTTTCTTGTCTTGTTTTTTATCAACTATGGTTCCAATGGATTAAGAAGTTAAGCAAAACATAAGAAAAGGAGAGGTTTTAGATACCCTTGAAAATATAGAGATTAAATATAGGAGTTTTTGTATATGATGACTAACCACATTAAGATAGGGAAGCGTGCCTAAGTGTGTGGTTATAGAGAGAATTAGTTAGTCATAGCAAGGTAGCCATACAAGAGAGAAAACAAAGGATAACTTTATTTTGCATGTTTTGTTTGGGTTGCATGTCTGTTTGTGTCATAATGCTATAGTTAAGCATGAGAACATGTAAATTGCCTTACCAGTTATTATCATGGCCATGTGCATGCATTTTGCTGTCCAGTATATGAGCATTTAACAATTAATCAGTTAGCAGCTGTATAGTTACTTAGTTATTCAGATTATGCAATTAAGCATATGCTCAGTTATCTAATTATGCATATGATCAGTAATCAGTTAACTAGGTAGTAGTTGCTCAGTTATACAATTCAGTTCATTAGTTATGCAGCTGTTCAATTATTCAATTATGTGCAATAGTTATATGAGATTCAGTTAAATAATAGCAAATATGCCTCAATTAATTATTCAGTTCAGTTTAATTATTTTGTAAGCTGTTGTTCTTTGTGACTTCTTTTGCATGCTTAATTTTATGCCATACATAATATATGAAATATGATTACTACCACTACCATTCTTTGAATTTCACCCATCTCTTCTATGTAACCATATGGCCTAGTCGATCCAAAGGGAAAGAAAAGTTGGTGGGAGCATAGCTAAGATTGAAGAGAAGAAGAATTTAGTTATTTAGTTAATCAATATGAAAAATTAATACATTATATGTGTACATTCCCTTTCGTGATATTTTATGTGTTTCTATTTTTTTCACCCTATTTGAGAAGCATGTAATCTATACTGTTATGCTTGTATATACCTCCATAAGGAGGAGTGCTTGAGGGTAGTTCTAGTATAGCTAAAATTTTGGTATATATGTATAGGTAATGATATTATATGTGTGATGATGTGAGTGATATAGTTATTTCCTATGTAAAGTATATATCCAAAGTTTTAGAATGTGTATCTTATAAGTTATGATTTATTGAGCTGGAAGGGAAAAGTAGAGTTATTGAAAGTAAGATCAGTACAGCTCTAAATAAATATTGCTAAAAGGCAGTTTGAGAGTGAACTTGGGTCTTATTTTATAACATAAAACTTTTAGAAAAATGAAGTTACAAGTTTAGATTCAAAGCTACATAAAAATTTTAAAAATTTCACCTTTTGTGAGTAAAGTTGTAATCGCTGCTAACAAAACTACTGTCATTTAGGCTGTTAGAGTTGGGTGTTACAGGAGTCACTAATAATCCGTTTTAGGATGTGACTTGGTGGAAGAATTGTTATATACTCTTCTGGTTTATTTATAAGGTAGAAAGATAAGTTTTTTTGGTTCTATTTATAGAAAACTAAAAGAAATTTTTTTGTATGAATATATAATTTTACTTTTCATTTATTATTGTCTTGACTTTATTTACATAGAGTATATTGTATATTAAATAGGAATAAAATTGAAAAGTTGTTGAATTTTAAATGAAAGTTAATTCTGTGTAAAAATAAAAGTGACTTATAAAACCAAAAAAATATATTGATATTGATGCGAGTGTGATCTGACTATTAGTCGATAATGATCAAAGTTTGGTTGGTTAAAAGGTTTGGTCTAAATTTGGCCTAAAAAAAGGTTTGGTCTAAATAATATTTCGATCTATTGCGGACATAAGGGGAAAAAAATGAAAATGAAAAAAAAAGCTAAAAATTACTAAATATTAAATAAAAAATGTCAATAAAAATTTATTTATATTTACAAATTCAGTCTTTTCAATATCAAATAAAATATTGTTTTGATTTGAGATTTGGTGATTTTTATTTTTTTTTATCATTTTCCCAAAAAAAAGTAGTCCTGTAACATTTATCCATATATAGTCAATGAAATTTGAAGGACTTAGTTGGTATTAAATTTTTGAAGGAAAATTATTTTTACTTTTGAGGGACTTATTTGTAACTTTTCTTCCATCGCTAATGTTCATGATTTATATTAAAAATTAAATTTTTTGGCCAAAATATTAAAAAATAATGAAACTATAAGTTTTAAAAATAGAAACCTCGTTATGGATAAATATTTGAGTAAACTCTGTTGACTTTACAGCATCATGTGATGTGATGGCGTAATTTCTTAATTATCTTGATTATTATTAGCTGGAAAATTCGTACAAGTCATTGGGAGACCGAAGAGCTGGTCAACACATTTTTGGTGAAAGGAGGATGAAATTGCGAAGGCTTTTGTTCTTTCCGTTTAACTATGGGCTGCTGGGTACTAATGTATGATGTTGGTGTCTTTATCTAGTTTTGAAATTTCCTAGTCTTCCCCTAATTTATAGACTTCTGCCACATTAAAGTGTGCGCGGGGGTCACAAACTTCCAGATATTGCATCGTCATCCCTTTTGACAAATTGCTATTGCATCCTTCAACAATTTGAAAATTGAGTAAACGCAAATAAGAAAACAACAAGAGAAGCCGCATGGCTGTCGTATGCTGCCAGTTGCTTTTTCCTTATAATTTTTTGGAAAAATTAATCTGCTGATCCTTGTAGTTTTGATATATTTATAACTTAATTTTAATATTTTGACTTGGTACAACTTAGTTCTTATAGTTTTGATTCGATTATATAACTCAGTTTCTAAAATCTTGCTTGTTACAAGTCGATTTTTATAGTTTTACTCATTTTGAAATTTAGTTCTTATGTTTTTAAAAAATGAAATTATCTATTTAATAAAAGGAAAGATTAAATTATAAAATGCTAAAAGTATAGAGACGGAGTTACAGTTAATCAAATTTCAAGAACTGAGTTATAAAACCGAGTAAAAGCTATGGAAACTTAGTTATGCCAAACCAAAATATAAGGAATCAAAGTATAAGGCTTAAATTACAGATAAGTAAAATTATAGGGACCAAAAGATTAATTTTTTCTAATTTTTTTTCTAATGGAATTCTCATTCCTCCTCCTTCCTTTTCAAACTCCAATCAGTACCCCTTCCTTTGGTCAATATCCTCCAAAGTACGCCGTTTACGTAACCAACATGACCTCTCTTTCTTTCTTCTTCATCGTCGTTCTCTCCATTTCCGCGCATATGATTCCATCCAATCCATCTTAACAAGAGATGCCTCAACCTAATAAACCCCTTTTTCCTTTAATCACCTTCATCTTTTGGTCATGGTGGACGCTTATTAACGGCGCCGTTTCGGAGCCACAGACCAATCTTCTAAGCACAGGCTGCTCTCCATCTATTAACCAATTCGTTGTGACCAACTTCTCCGTCTTCAGTGAAAACGTCAACAGAACGTTCCTCCATATCAGAAAGCAGATTGTGAATAAGAGTAAGCACTTTGCGACGGCGCAGCAAGCCAGCGTAGAAAACTCCGTTTTCGCTCTTTTTCAGTGCAGAAACTACATCTCCATTCATGACTGTGTTGTCTGCTTCGACGTCGCCGCCAAACAAGTCCGCAAATGCGCTGCCGGAACACAAGGTGGCCGCGCCGTCTACGACGGCTGCTTCCTCAGGTACAACTAGTTCACAAGTTCTTCTCTTCTTCAATTCTTTTTTATTTTTTTTCCAGCCGCCAAGTTTGAAGTCTCACCTTTTGATTTTAGTTGTTTAATCTTTTCGCTTATGGAGGGTGCCCTTTTCTTTTCTGAATGGTATATGTCATAGAGATAATGCATTAAATTAACTGCTAGCATTATTATAGCGCTGACATTGATTAATTAAGCTGTAGCAATAAAGACCAACCAAAAAAAAAAAAAAAAAACACCTAACAATTGTTAAAGTGGCAGGATTCGCTTGGGATATCACATGTCAGTAGAGGGGTCCAGTCACGGACCTTGCTGAAGAGTTGAGACCAAGGGGAAAATAAACACTGGCTAATTTTTTATGGAATGTTTGATGCCATAATTAAAATGTGTGTGTGTGGATATATTAATTTAAAAATAAAATAGATAACCATATATTTGTAAATTTTGATTATATTTAAGTTGTATTTCTATTTCAATCAAAACTTTTGAAATTTATGTATATAAAAAAATAGTTTATGCTAAATAATAAGTCCTTTGTCTGTAAGGAAAAAAGAGGGAGAAAAACATATAGCTGTCACATTTCCTTAGATATTGTAATTCATTCCATAAGTTTAAGTTATTACTTGTTAATCTATTATTCTATTATTGTTATTGATATTCAGTAAAATATTTTTAAGAAATTAGTTGTCATCATTGTTTTAGTTATTATTGTCATTTGGTAAGTTAAAGTTATTTATCACTGAAGTATGACAAAATTATTTTGCAGGTACCTATATTTTTTTTTCTTAATTTTTAATTTAGTGCATATACTTTTTTGATTAAATTTTTTAATTTTGCTCTTTTAACAAAGCAAAGCTAAGGGCATTTCGATTTCTCGTTTTCTCACATTTCAAATTAGGGGCATGTTGGTGATATCATTATAAAATTTAATCATAAACTAGTCTTTAATTTAGATCGTTAATTGGCAATGATTAGGCCATTTCGGGTTTTGAACTAGGATTTGCATATTTGGGGAATAATTAAAAATTTATATCTTGCACTATAATAAGTTAATAGGTGCATTTTGAGACAGCTTAATTATGTATTGATATGCACAGAGCAAAACTCATATTGAACATGGAAAAATGATACGATCTATCCTTTTGTGTATTGATCAGGTGCGAGACCAAGACTTTCTTCGACCAAACAACGGAGGATTTTAATGCCGCATCATGTGGAAATCAAACTGTAGCAGAATCCTCCACATTATTTACCTCACTTGGGCAAAAAGTGCTACGGAATCTCCAAACAACAACACCCAAAAAGCAAGGATTTGTCATGGCGACAAAAGCACATTTGCCTGCCAATAATAATGGTACATTAACTATTTATGGCTTTGCTCAATGTACTCAAACAATCACACAGAGAGGGTGCGACGATTGCTTGAAGGCTTGTTATAGTAATATGCAGATTTGTCTTCCCAATTTGGATGGTAAGGCTTTTGCTGGTGGGTGCTTCATGAGATACTCCACCACTTCCTTCTTTCCTGATAACTACCAGACGATTGATATCACCCCCATGGAGAAACAAGGTATAGTTCATTATTGAATCAAGGATTACGCACAATTTAGGGAAAATCGTTATGAAATACCCAAAAAGGAATGCAATCACCAACAATTTAGTGCACGAACGTTATTGTCAATTTCTGTACCAAAACTTGTCATTACATATTACTCATCTGTTATAAGACTTTTTAATGATTATATTCCTTCCTTGTGACCTCATAGTGATTTTCCTGTCAATTTAAGACAAATTTTATTGCAGCATGACAATTTGGTTAGCTTTATGTTATTATAAAAACCATTACTATGACTTATTTGAAAATGATTTCTCTTGTTATGTCTTGTAGGTCCAAGCAATAAGAGGGCCATAATTGTTGGTGGAGTCGTTGGAGGTGTAGTTCTTGTTTTGATCCTCCTTATATTATTTTTCTGCATTGTACGGCGAAAATGCACCAAGAGAGTTTATAGAGGTAAACAACTTGAAAATTTCCTGGTTTCTACCTTTTTTTCCTAACAAAAGGAAATAAGTTACATACTTTCATCCCCATGATGGGATATAATTAGGTTCTTCAATATGAAGAAAATTTGATAAAATACACTACTTAACAGGCGACATAATGAGAGCAGCTAAGTTGAAAGGCCTTGTAAGATATAGTTATAAGGACTTGAAGTTTGCAACTGAGAATTTTAGTGAAGAAAATAAACTAGGAGAAGGAGGATTTGGTGCAGTATATAAGGTAACTTTGTTTACATATATATATATATATGTATCATGTTTTAAAGGACAAAAGCAAAACTTCTTATCACAATTTCTTGATTGAAATTATAAATCATCATGAATAGGGCACTCTAAGAGATGGGAAAGAAGTTGCAGTCAAAAAGTTAACTTTACGAAATTCCAGGAGAATGGAAGAAGGTTTCGAGAGTGAAGTAATGCTCATAAGTGATGCTCATCATCCCAATCTTGTTCAACTTTTAGGATGGTGTAGCAGTGGCCTTATCAGAATTCTTGTTTATGAGTACATGAAAAACAACAGCCTTGACAAATTCTTATTTGGTATGTGGCATCAACTTGAATACACACACAGTTCTTTAATTAAGCATTGGTAATGTTTTTCAATAACATTACAACATGTTTTCTCAGCTTAAAAATATTGATTCTATAAACAAGACCTTAGTCATGCATCATAACTTTAACATTATGAGGTTCTTTTAGTTTATTCTTTCTTTTCCCCCAACGTCTCAATGTTTGTGGCCTTGGGAAACAGGTGAAAAGAAAGGTTATCTCAACTGGAAGCAGCGATGTGACATAATTTTAGGAATAGCAAGCGGTTTGACTTATCTTCATGAGCAATTCCGAGTTCGTATTATACATAGAGATATAAAGACTAATAATATTCTCTTAGACGATGATCTACAACCTAGGATTGCTGATTTTGGGTTGGCAAGGCTTTTACCTGAGGATAGATCTCATCTTAGCACAAAATTTGCTGGAACCTTGTAAGTCAAGCTATAAAATTCTTTATTTTTCTTAACTTCTATTACATTACATGGATTATCTACCAAATTGATAATGAAATATATACATAAGTCATTAACCAAAAATACACACGCAATTCGTGAGAACACTCCCGTTACACATATAAATAGTTCTAGCCTTCCAAATTTTGTCCTTACATGCCATATGCATGCTTCAAGAAAGAAACTAGCTTTGTCAAATACATGATCCAATTTTACATTGTCCATCAGTGTTTAAGACTTCGTTAAATTGTAATTTTCTATTTGCACTATTACTTTAATCAATTACATCAAGTCAATACTAAATATAATATATTTTTTCAGAGGATACACAGCACCAGAATATGCAATTCATGGTCAATTATCAGAGAAGGCTGATATTTATAGTTATGGTATTGTAATCCTTGAAATCATTAGTGGTCAAAGAAGCAAAGCATTAAAGGATGATGGGGATACTGAAGATGAATTCCTCCTTCCAAAAGTGAGAAAAATTCTATGATTATTTGAAAAAGCATTATTTTTGAGAAATTTCATGTGTGTGTATGTGTGTCACTTTTTGAACAACTCAAGTTAACTCTTCTGGCCACAAGCTAATGTTTTTAATCTTGTTTGTTAGGCTTGGAAACTATATGAAAAAGGCATGCACTTAGAGTTGGTGGACAATACCTTAGACCCTAATGAGTATGATGCAGATGAAGTGAAGAAAATCATTGAGATTGGTTTGCTTTGCACTCAAGCATTTGCTGACTTAAGGCCAACGATGTCTGAAGTAATTGGTTTGCTCCAAAGTAGTGACCTATTAGAGAATATAACGCCCTCTATGCCTCTCTTGATCGTAACTGATTAGGGGTGCATTAAGAACACCTCTAACATCAAATGCTGTTGTGTTCATATACATACTATCAGCAAGACAATTGAATTTTACAGGAATGTGCAGTTATGGGTGACTTTGCGTTTTGAACCCAAAATGGGGGCAAAATATGATAAAAGTTTTTGCTTTGCAGAATAATTAAATGAGCAACCATTAACAACATGAGATTACAAGTGAAATTGAACTACCACCTTTCACTTATATGATAAAGTTGAAGAAGGGGTAAAGAAACAAATCATTATTATTCATTCTATTCTTTAACTTTTGTTTGTAATTTGTGCATCAATTCTAGACATTATACTACCTCCGATCCTTATTATAAGACCTCGTTTGACTTTTTGTTTGGTCCTAATTATAAGACCCCGATCCATTTTGTCTATCATATTTATACATTTTTTTTCCAAGATAATCCTTCTAATAATAATAGTTCTAGCCAATATACTTAATTAGCAAGGATATTTTAGGAATGACAACACTTATTTATTACAAATAACTAACTTAACTTACTTCCTTAATCTCCTCAAATAAGTCAACTGGGTCTTATAATTAGGATCGGAGGTAGTATATGAATTGATTATCAGTGTACAATTTAATTTGATAAAAACTACATTAATCTCTCTCAAAACTTAGTTAAATTATGTTTGATATATTTTTATATTAAAGTGACATTAAGATTGCTCAAGTTTTATTTTCCAATAAAGTTTGTCTTTTTTGTAATAGAAAACCAATTTTTTTAAAAAGATTAATTATTTTTCTTTTGCAATCATGTTTGGAATAAAACTTAATTACGTGAATGCCATAACCCATTTTCTGTCATTGTTTTTGTGCCACCGAAGCCCACAATTTTCATTTATCCAATGGGGCCAAATAAAAATGAGAAGCCCCTCTTCAAAGCAAACGTAATGATAATTAAATGAGCCCATTGAAGCCCACAGTTTTCATTTGGATCACTTCGATACAACTCATTTCTGAACACTTGTAAGAAAACAATTAAAATTTGAGTAACGTGGACAATTTCTCTTTTTTCTTTTTAAAATTTCCCTCAATTAAATAATACGACTACCCTTCTTTTAAATAACAATACTTAGGTCAAGTCTCTTATGTCTACTATGTTGAGTTCTTCACTCACATATAGCCATGTGCCTTTTTTTTTGAAATATTAGAATTTAATATAATTTAATCATAAATTATTCATATGAAAAAAAAACATGATCATATGTGATTAGAGAACTTAATATAATAGATATAAGTATTTTGACCTAAGTGTTTGATTTTTTAAATATTACTGTCATTACTAAGTGCGTCTTATAGGCAATTTTGATTGGAGTATTTTAGGAAAAATAATTTAATTATACTAACAACTCCGAACAAAAACTTATATTCAGTAACAAAACATATTTAAAATCTGAGAACAAATGGAATGCTTATGTAACGCATAAAAAAATTGGAATGCTTATGTAGAACCTATCAATATAGGTCCTACACAAATCCAATCCCACTCCATTTTTATCGCTCACCACATTAACAAACAAAACAAGTCTAGCTTTATCAATATAGGTTTAAAACTCATGGAAAGTATTAATCAAATTTTAATATTTAATAAAAATTTTGCACGTAATTTAAATTTTATTATAGTTTGTACAATTCAGTGGAAATTATTTTTTTAACACATAAAATTGTGATTGGAGTTTTATTATAGAATTAAAAAAGAAAATCATAAATTTTGTTTTAAACGTATACAATTATAATCAAAGTCGAATAATTATTGTCATAGATGACGGCTTGGAAAGCTACATGGGAACCAATGTAGACATAACCTTTTAGAATCCTATCTAGTGGGATTGACCCATGTCATATAATATAGGGCTGCTATATATCCTGAAACAAATTTATTTTTATTATACATATGCACATGTAAAATTAATATTAAGTAAGGATTTTTTTTGTTATAACTCATGAATTACAAGAGCCTGACTAATAAAAAACTTTATTTTACTGAAAAAAACAGAACATTATGCTTTTTGGTTCATGACAATTAGTTAATTCCAATTTCCAAACGCTGATTTCCTGCACAAATTCAATGGATTGATCATGATCAAAACTTTTGTTCCCTTATTATTACAAGGGCATATTTCCCAATCCCTTTTTTTTATCCAAAGTTGTTCAATTACTACGATTTAATAGAACTGCTTTCAGTTTATGCACGTCTACTTATATTAATCTTCTTCTTCTTCTTCTTCTTCTTCTTCTTCTTCTTCTTATTATTATTATTATTATTATTATTATTATTATTATTATTATTATTATTATTATTATATTATTATTATTATTATTATATATGCATATGGGTATCTCAAACATGTCACTAGGGAAAGAAATTAATGAATATCGTCTGAATTCAAAACTAATCAATATATTTTTCCTAGCCTTATTGTAAGAAGGCTGATTTTTTTAATATTAATTGTAAAATTACATGGAATATTTAAACAGCCTAAAGCTGTTGGCAGTTACATTAGTTTCGAATACCAGCAGGCATAATGATGACTTTGAAAACAGTAGGCAAACAACGTAACTTTCAAATTCCGATGACCTTTTTTACCAACAAATTTGACCAAAAAACAAAAGACCAACAAATTAAATATATGCCTACGGCCTAGAAAGCAAGATCTTGCACGCAATAATGTGAGTCCTCATTTCTAACTTTTTCTGGTATGCCAAAGAATACTGGTTAGGTCCGTAAATATGTTTCAATTTGATAAAACTTTCCAAATTTGTTTGTATTGAAAAACAACTTCTTTACATTTATACATCATTCTCACTTTTTCCCTCGTTTATCTCTTTTCAATAAAAATTAAATAAAGATAAAATTAAAAAAACAGCTTGTGGCTAGCATTTTTTCCCCTGCAACTAATTTATAATAGGGACCCTAATGGTAATCTATACTTAAGGTATTTTGGGTAATATTAAGAATAATCAATGTATTTATCTTGAAAATATATCCACTAAAATAAACAAATTACTTAATTACGTATTAAATTGGTTCTTACCCTGTAAAGAGAGTCAATTTTATTTAAGAAACAGTATTTTGGAAAGACTGAACTGTGAGAGTTAATTAGTTAAAAATTTATTATATAAAAATAAAAAAAATTGGGTACACAATAATAAATAAAAGCAGTTTATCAATAAGAATTGTTTCAATTAGTAAGGAGTTCAAACATAATCTGCAAAGTTGAGTTTAAATTTCACTACTAATATGAGGATTTTGTTGGTAAACAATTTGTAAGTACCCACCTTAAATTTTATTTTTCTATGCTTATAACCCTCTCAAATGGAGTTATACAAACCCTAAATTATTTGAAAATAAATAATAAAAAAATAATACAAATTTCAGATAGATCTATTATAGTTTAGGATTTCGGAGGTTTTGTATATATATGATATAGAATTCAGGCCCTCATGGGATTTTGCACAATTCAACCTAAAATAAAATATTTTTTTATATTATTTATAAATAATCTCTTTTTATGATTTCTGTTTTGGAAAAATCTCTTTTAATATTTGTTTTATATTATAAAAAATGGTCAATGTGCACACTGAGATAACATTTTCTTTTGCTGCATGTGAATGCTTCTTGGACGGTAGTAGTAGGATACACAAAAACGAAAGTTGCAACTTGCAATCATCTTTATCCTGTTTCCAAGTCCAGAGATTCGCTGTCGGCGAATACTGCTCATGTAAAATATTAAGAAATTTAAATAATAGATACCCAAATAATAATTTAGGTTACTGGACACATAGCAAAAAATAATTCAAAGTGCTGGATTCATCAAAGTATAATTTAGAGTATTAAATGTACCGCAAAATACTTTGAGATATTAGATTTATGTCAAAAGATATTTCAGATTGTTGGATGTACTTTTAACCCTAAATATCATAATGATCTATAAATATGTGAAATTTATGTTAATATCAAACTTATGACAAATGATACTTATAAATAGTGTGATTTATTATATATGCAGCCAGCCACTTAATTATGTTGCTAAATTATTACTATATTTTTACCTAATAAAACATGTAAGAGAATAAGAGATTAAAAGTTAGAATATAGGAAAAACATTTTTCTAACCAAAAAGAGACATTAAAGTCTGAACACTTTGGTCATAAAAGGAAACTCCTCCACTGCTTCTTTCTTCATCTTCATTCTCTGCACACAGAGCAAACCAGTCTCGACAAAAGATGCTTCAGCGTCCTAATAATCTCCTTCCGTTGTTTACCTTTTTCATATTCCTCTCATTCTGGGACCTTAACGGCGTCGTTTCGGATCCGCAGACCAATCTTGTGAGCAGATTCTGCAACCCCTACGATGGATTGCTCGTCTCCAACATCTCCATCTTCGATGAAAACCTAAACGCAACGTTGAGAGACATCAGAAAGCAGATTACTGAACAAAACAAGCACTTCGCTACGGCGCAGGAAGCCAATGGAGGAAACCCCGCTGCCACACTTTTTCAGTGCAGAAACTATCTCTCCGTCGCCGACGACTGTGTCGCCTGCTTTGATGTCGCCGCCGTGAGAATTCACAGTTGCGCCGCTGGGTCCCCCGGTGGTTTCGTCGTCTATGATGGGTGCTTCCTCAGGTACAACTAGCTAAGCAACAAGTTCAATTTTTTCTTTTTATGAATAGTAGTTTAATAATATAATTAATCGCATTTAGACTATTATATATTACTACTACTTCGGTTGTTATTAATATCTCAATGAGCTTATCGAAAGTCAAGTTATGAGTACTAGTTAAGTAGATCTGCACGTACATGTAATCAAAGCATCAAATAAAATATACAAAGGACAGTATTATAATTATGATACAATAATGCATGTAAATGTCCATAATCTTTCGCGAGTGAACAACTAGGTTTTAATTTAATAGCATGCTAATAATTTCCTACAACCGCCAACGTTGAATGGTTGTTATGATTTATTTAATTGCAATACCTATATATATAGCCTCTAATTGAGAGTTCTATATTATAGCTTTATCCTGATTAATTTTTCTTGTTTATCTAGATCTAACTAAGTTAATTAGTACTATAATGAGAATTATTATTTTTTATTTCTCGCTAATATACTCTGTTGAAATATTTATTTTTTAAAAATATATATAAATCTATAATTAACCGTTATGTATAAAATAACTAACTTCACAATTTGCGGGGGTCTTATCCGCTAAATAAAATTATAATTCACTTACATATTCATAATTAATACTCCCTCCGTTCCTTATTATAAGAGACATTTGATGCTTATAACATGTTCCTATATATAAGAGACACTTACAAGTTGTCTTTACTTTTTTGTGTTGATTTACTATTTTACCCATATTTATTATCTCCAACTCACACTCTCTCTCCCTCCCACTTCTCTTTCTTTTAATAATTTAATTGTTCTCTCTCATGCTCTCTCTCCTTATTAATGAGGGCATTTTTGGAAAAAAAATTATACTTTTTACACATTAATTGTTTTTAACTAATTTTAACTGTTTTTTTTATCAACGTACTTCAGTTATTTGTCTCTTATAATAAGGAACGGAGGGAGTATATAGTATCTTTAATAGCATATGCTTTTTTACCATGATTATATTTTGACGTGGATAATATATACAATGTTAATTAGAAGCAGTCAATGTTAATTTATAACCCACAAGCATTAGCTCTAAGGGAAGGAGCTTTAGTTGCTTAAATAATATAAGGTCTTAAGTTTGAGCTAGTGTGAAAGTAGAAAAAGCCTTGAGTTTGCTACTCTCAATTATTGGACTTTGTAATGCTCAGATATGATTTACTAATAGTGAATAACGGATAACTGTACAAACTAATTAAGTTAATTTATAGCAAAAATCAATCTAAATGCGATTCAAAACCATAAAAGCATCATCCCATAATTAGCTTAATTTGTAATATAAGTGTAGCTAAATGATACATAGAGAGAGGATGCTTACTGCTTTGTGGGTGTATTAAGGTATGATGCGAGCAACGCTTTCTTTGGTGAGACAACGCCGTCAATCAACAGTGTAAGATGTGATGGGAATCAGACTGCTGATGGAGAAGCCACTGCATTTGACTCAACAGCTCAACAAGTCCTAACCAATCTCCAAACCAGAACACCCACAGCCACTGGTTTCTCTGCAGCCACAAAGATGCAAGTTCCCGCTAATAATAATAATAACGCTCAAACTATTTATGCTTTTGCTCAATGTATTGAAACCATCACTCAGAATCAGTGCCTCAGTTGCTTGAATGCTGCGTATAGAAATTTGCAGACTTGTTTTCCCAATTCGGATGGTAAGGCTTTTGCTAATGGCTGTTTCATGAGATACTCCACCACATCCTTCTTTCCTGATAACCAGACCTTTCACATTGTACCCTTGATCAAACATGGTACAGTCCCTTCCTCAAATCATTGACAATTTGCTTTGCTTATGTGTAATTCTGAATCCCTCAAGTTATATATTAGGTCTTATTTCTGTGCCTGATTCGACGTGGATATATATATATATATATAATATATATAGCTGTACATAAAGATTGGCTCATTTGAAAGTGAGTTCTCTTTATATGTTTTGTGTCTTGCAGGTTCAAATAATAAGAAGGGGACCATTAAAGGTGTAATTGTTGGAGGAGTAGCTTTTGTTTTGATCCTCCTTGCACTATTGGCTTGGATTAAAAGACCAAAAAGGCCCGAGAGATCAGTTCCTAGAGGTGAGCATCTTGGAAAGTCTTGTGTATAATTTTGTAATGATTTATTATTGTGATGCTTTGGTCGCATTTAATTTTCCCTTTTAAAAAAAGCTGGACTTTAGTTCATCTCTGTGAAGAAAGGAATTCCTAATTGCTTTTTCTTAATTTATGAAGAGACGTAATTTGACTAATGCTTTCCTTGACAGGGGACCTATCTGCAGTAAGTAAGTTGAAAGGCCCAATAAATTTTACTTATAGCGAGTTGAAGTTTGCTACTAAGAATTTCAGTGCTGAAAATAAACTTGGGGAAGGAGGGTTTGGAGCTGTATATAAGGTAACTATATATTTTGATTTTCAATATTTCGATCTAGATTGTGTTCCAATGCAAGGATGTTCTAAGGGAGTACTTTCATATAGTGTCGTAAATGAGCAAAATTTCTAATAATAACACTTTCAGGATTGACATTCTTAATCCTCATGTAAATAGGGCACTTTGAAGAATGGGAATATAGTTGCTGTAAAGAAATTAACTTTACGCCAGTCTAAGAAGGTGGAGGAAGAATTTGAAAGTGAAGTGAAGCTTATAAACAATGTTCATCATCGAAATCTTATTCGGCTTCTTGGATGTTGCAGTAAAGGCAATGAGAGAATTCTTATTTATGAATATATGAAAAACACCAGCCTTGACAAATTCTTATTTGGTATATTTTATCAGCCAACAAAGCTTATATATGGTTATTTGATCTTTAGCTATTGAATTCCTTTATAAACTTATATATAAATGCTATTCTTCTCCCTCAACCTTTGTTTGAATTTGTGAAATAGGTAAAAATAGAGGTTCTCTTAGTTGGAAGCAGCGGTATGATATAATTTTAGGAACAGCAAGGGGTTTGGCTTATCTACATGAAGAATTTCATGTTCGTATCATACATAGAGATATAAAAACTAACAATATTCTCTTAGACGATGATCTCCAACCAAGAATTGCTGACTTCGGTTTAGCAAGGCTTCTACCTGAGGAGAAAACTCATCTAAGCACAAAATTTGCAGGAACATTGTAAGTCAAAATATAAACTGCATTTTTGTGATATTCTAAGAATTCATATTGATAACACACATGATGTACCGCCTTATGTTGTACATGTCTATTTCATATTCAATATATAAGCTATCAATTACAACAAATATTTATATACTTTTCAGAGGATACACAGCGCCAGAATATGCAATTCATGGTCAATTATCAGAAAAGGCTGATATTTATAGCTATGGCGTTGTAGTCCTAGAAGTTATGAGTGGTGAACGAAGCAATGAATTGAATTTTGAAGGCGAATTCCTCATTCGAAAAGTAAGAAAATTTCTCTGATTAATTAAAAAACAGCAGTTTCAACGGAGAAAATTTGAATGCATTGACTGTTTTAACCACACAATGTTTTGCCGTGTCTTGTTTTCCCTTCTTATCGCTTTTCCCTTTAATTCACTTGATAGGCTTGGAAGCTATATGAGAGAGGCATACACATAGAGTTGGTGGATGATACCTTGGATCCTAATGATTATAATGCAGAAGAAGTGAAGAAAATCATAGAAATTGGTCTACTCTGCACCCAAGCATCTGCAGAATTAAGGCCATCAATGTCTGAAGTAATTGTTTTGCTCCAAGGCAACGACTTATTAGAAAATATGATGAAACCCACCATGCCTATCTTGATTGAAACTTAATTCTAGGGGTCCCTGTGACCCATCTCTACCATTACTGCTTCCCTCATCAATCGCCAAGCCCATCACTTTTTTAGCAGACTTTGTATTTCCCAAGAATCTGTGGTTAAGGGTGATATTTCTACCATTACCCACTTGTCAACAAAGATTTCAAACAAGAAAATACACATATATATACATGTGTGCCCCCCCCCCCCATCAGGCTAAGCCAACCCCATGAAGCTATATGATCCTTGACAGCACATAGAAAATAGTAATTGGGAAATATACCAAAAAAGGAAAAAAATAATTGGCAAAATTCAGGATTAATTCATGATTGGATTTGAAAAAAAATTACTGTCAATTTCATTTACTGACTTGGTCCTTGTTAGTTTATTTCTCTGCACTACGTTTTCATTGTAATTTTGAGTTTTTCAGATTAAATTTTAACGCTACAAATTAATGTCCATTTAAAAACTAGTAAGTTTTTACGATGTCAAAAGCTACCGAATGTTTCATTTAAGTTATTCCCACACAGTGACGACATGTAGGTTGAAGAAATGTCTCTTACGAGTTAACAAAAGTTGATATAATTGATAAGGGGTTGACTTGTAATCTACAATTTAATAAGTTCAAATCTTAATGCACCTATAGCGGCGAATTCTTCTTGTCGCCACCGTTACTATCATTAGATTGTTGCCACTAAAAGTCAAACCTTTTGTTGCCACTAAAGGACATATTTTCAATGGTGACTTTTTTTGTTGTCGCTGAAAATCCAGTTTTTTATAGTGATGTGAGGGTCTTGCCGGTATATGATTTGTAAATACATTGTAAGTATTTTTTGAGGTTGAAGACATGCCTTGACTTTGGTAAACTTCGAAACCCAACTCATCGAAACTTACTTGTATTAAAAAAATGTATTTTATGCTAGCTAAGAACTCACAAGAAATTTTATTTCCAAAAAAAAAAAAGAATTCACGAGAAATTTATATGGTCTATAAGCTATGTTATATTTCCAGTTGTCCACCGTAATTATTTCATTCTATTAATGGGACACTCGCATTTGTAATTCACTAATCCCAACGTAGAGAGAGTGAACCATGAATTCCTTGTTTTCTTTATATAAAAAAATGTAAATGAATTGGGCTCCAAAAACTTACCAGGACCGGGGCATACCGGACCCATGATTTCCTTGGTGGAGCATTATTTCTTTTTCTTTTGCCAAACACAGTTATTTTCATATTGGAAAGCGGTGCATGATACTCAGTTTGTAACTCCCAAAAATGAAGCCCAAAAGAGTCACAAATACAATGGGCCCGGAAAGAGCCCAACTTCAGAGCAAATAAAGGATCCGAGTAATGACTAATGAGGATTAAAAAAGCCCATTAATCATGGTTGCTCGTCCAATATATCACTCACCATCAATTGCACTAACCAAGCCGCCCCTTTTGCAAAATGAAATATTATATCATTAAACTCCTTGTTTTTTTGTGATTACACGTCTAAAAGTGTTTCTTTTTATCAATCATCAAACTACTTTCATTTTATTAAAATATACTCCTCCAGTTCTTAATATAGGACCTAATTCTTGAGTTGGTTTTGGTTCTAAATGTAAGACCCATTTATCATATTTATCAATTTTCTCTAAATTACCGCTATGGATACTCCCTCAACCATAATCAAATAGAAGAGGGAGATGGGGTATTAAGAAAGATGATCATGGTATTTTAGGAAAAATGTGTCACTTTTCTTATAATTAACTAACTTACCTAACTTCCTTAATCTAATCAAATTAGTTAGATGGGTCTTATATTAAGGACTGGAGGAGTATTACTTATGAGGAAGCAAATTACAAGCCAACCTCCAAGAATAAGATTACAAGCAAGCTAACGTAAAAATCACATTCATTTATAAATCTTATAAATATTAGAGCTTGGGTTTTAAATAGTCGATAATAATATATTTTTTGAATTACTTGCTAATGCTGCCATCAATGATGGTGATTTGAGGATCAGAGACGTCGGTACCTAATCAGAGTTGGTCAGAACAATACTTTGGTCTTCTTTTCTTGGCGCCAACATATATATGTGTGTGTAAGTGAAAAATGATGCTAGTCCCTTAACATTGATCTATATGGTTAATAAAATTTGAAGGAATTGGTGTTGATTATCTCTAGGAGAATTATTTTAAAATATGAGAGATAAAATAGATTGAGATTTTATATTTAGAACTAAATTAAAAGATAAACTAGTTCTTATATTAAAGATCAGAGGTAATAATTAACTTAACTAATTTTTAATGTATTTAAATTAATTAACTAATTTTTATATTAAATACTAGTAGCCTTTGGGAGAGGGAAGAGCTGGTCAACAATTGTTGGTGCAAGGACAATGAAGTCATGAAGCTTTTGTTTTCTTCCCGTTTAGCTACGAGCCGCCGAATTTAATGCTGGTGTCTTTCCTCATTAGGCTATTAGTTGGAAACTTCGTAGTCTTCCACCAATTGTCTCCTGCCACATGCAACTCGACACCACTGATATTAAGCCACGTGGCTGTCTTCGACCAGTTTCTTCTTCCTTATAATTTGTCTGCTGAAATTCTCACCCCTCATTCGTCGTTTTTAAAACACCAATTAATTGGTCACTGTTTATAACTTCTGTTTTCCTCCTTCTTCGTCTTCTTCTTTATCCAATCCATCGCAGCAAAACATGCTTCGACCTAATCTCCTTTTTCCTTTAATCATCACCTTCATCTTCTGCTCATGCTGGATTCTTGATGGCGTCGTTTCAGACCCACAGGCCAATCTTTTGACCAGAGGATGCAACCCGTACTACGAATTTCTGGTGCCCAACGTCACCGTCTTCGGTGAAAATATAAACGCGACCTTGCGAGACATCAGAGAGCAGATCAGTGACCAAAACAAGCACTTCGTCACAGCACAGCAAGCTGCCAATGGTGGAAACACCGTCTCTACGCTTTTTCAATGTAGAAGCTATCTCTCCACCGCTGACTGTGTCGCCTGCTTCGACATGGCCGCCACTGACATCCTCAGCTGTGCCGCCGGGGACCCTGGTGGCCGGGTTGTTTACGACGGATGCTTCCTCAGGTACAACTACTATTCCTCCAACTTAAAGTTTGACTCTTTTTTTTTTTTTTTGGGTATAGTTAACACAGATAATCTTATCCTAGTCTTTATCACTTTAATTTTCTGTCTGACTTTCTACCACGCCACCAACGACAGTTTTTTTTTTCCCTTTTAATAAACCAGTGCCAGTTTTTTATGTCTACGATACGCAACATAAGGGTGTTCAATTTGTTCTGTCTTGGTGCCGGTGAATTCAGAACGGGACAAAAAAAATTTCGAGACGGGACGGGGTCATTCCATCTTGTTCCGTCCCAGGATTTTTTTTCTTTTAAAAATTATTTATTAATAATTATTATTAGATTATTTAATTTACTTATTAATAATAACTCTTATTTTTATGGTGATTTGTAACTCTTAAGTTGTAGTATTATCTCAACAAAATCTCCTTCCTCAATAAAATAATTCATAAAGTCATGATATAGTGTTTTTCTTACGGTATTTTTTTACATCTTTTTTATGCTATATAATTGAGCTTTCTACATAATATTTTTTTATAATGTTTTTATCTTTAGAAGCCCAATATAAAATAAGTATTATAACATAAAAAAATTTATATAAAAATTATAGTATTTTTTTTAAAAAAAGGAGAAGCGGGACGTCCCGGTCCCGTTCCGATCTCGATGAGACGGGACAGGGATTTTGTCTCGTGTCCCGTCCCGTCCTGTGAACACCCTAACGCAACATATAGAGACCATTTACGTGTCTGTTTGGATTAGCTGAAAAAATAGCAGTATATTTTTAATTTATTTTTAAAAAAATTAGATTGAGTAAAAGTTAAATTAGATAATCTAATTTATGTTTGGATTGAATTTTATAAAAATTAGTTTGTAAAAATAAAAAAATTGTTTGGATTATAATTGAATAAGTAAGTTCAATTTGTAAAATTATCAAAATAGGTATGACTTTTTTTAAATAATGAAAAAATGATTAAAAAAAAGAATTTACATACTATAATGAATTTAAATTATTTTCATGTGAAGAAGTGCAATTTAATGATTGAAATATATTTTAAAAGATTAGGACTTTTATTAAAAAAATTTGTAAATAAAAATGTATAATTCAAAAAAATTACAAATATTAAAAATACATAATTAAATCTTATAAATTATAAATAATATGTTGGCAAAAAATAGAAACTATAAATTATAAATAATAACAAAATCTAACTGAGGTTCTGCCGCATTAAGCCTCTCAACTAGTGCAGTGGATGATACTCCCTTTTGATTTCCCCACACACCTATCGAGATGTGATCACGCTGCATAAGCCATGGGCATCAAAATATAGCTTCTGCTTTATCATGCGATTTGGGGCAAAACTTCTTTTTTTTTTTTTTAAGTTGTTCCAAATATAATGAAAAGACAAAAGCAGGCTAAAAGCAATTCAAACATGGCTTTTACCCATCTAAACGCAGTTCCAAACACACCCATATATCTTATGGTAATATGCACTTTAAAAACTTACCATTTTTATAATTATAGAACATAATATGCTATGGATCAAAATACTCCCTAAATTTTAGACTGAGTCATATACAAATAAACCCTTGTCATATTATATTATTTGAATGCAAAAAAAAGGAGGTTAGATTTATGATTTAGTGTAAATGTAAAAATGTAGGCATTTTTAAGTATACTTCACTAAGGTATGATGCTAGAAAGTAATCATCAATATATTACATAAAAAAAATAATAATCCAGCATTATTCACTTAATCTTAATTGACCAAGCTTGATTTTTGGCTAGCTAAATCAATGAAATAATACTGTGTGTGATGTATATAGGTACGACATTAGTAGCGCTTTCTTTGGTGATACAACACAGTCTATCAACAGTGCATCATGTGGGAATCAGACTACAACAGATGAACCTGCTTCTGCATTTAGCTCAGCTGTTCAACAAATTCTGATGAATCTCCAAACAGCAACCCCCACAACCACTGGGTTCTCTGCAGCCACAAAGACGCAACTTCCTAATAATGGTTCAATTATTTATGCATTTGCTCAGTGTATTGAAACTATCACACAAAGTACGTGCGAGGATTGCTTG